GTAGGGTAACCTTCTTTAGGAACATGATGAAACGATAACTTTGGCGACTGCCCAACTTCCAGCGACTGTTTCTTTGTTCTCGTACCTTGTTCGCTTGGACAGTTCAGCACAAAACACTTCGTCACCATGTTTAACGTCACCACCACAAAAAATGAAATCAATCAAAATTTTGCATGGCTGTTATGACCCGATATATTAATAAACTGCATACAACATAAAATTATTTCGTTGCTAGCTTTTAATTTGCAGTGTAATGGCAAAACCGATTTCATGAACAAATGCATGGTAATGATGGCAGTCATAGACACGTAATCACTTTTGTGACCCAGTAGCTATAGCATACGAGAATGTGCTATTATTGTAGTTACAATACCACCAGACAGAGATTAGAATCGTCTGCTCAGTATTGTTCACTTAAATGCTACCAGTGGACATATAATATACATAACAGTGACCAGCAGACGCAAGATGGAGTAGCTGCCGCCTGCCACTCACGTTACTGTCTTTCCTATTTTAGCTCTGAATGCATTGAACGGAGCTGACTAAGTAAACAAGCAAACGGTACGGCGGCGAGGAAGCGGTCAAAGGGCCAGTCCCGCACATATTCTTGGTCTGTTCCCTTTCAAATACCTCTACTGTCCACACTTAGACAAGTATGTAATACGAGGCTTCATATGCACTACGGCAAAACCAAATGAAATGACAGCCATCACTTAACGCACAGCCAAATTTCGCGCAATGCTATCGAGTAACTAGGTAACAGCATAAATACCTAAATTATTTCATTATACAAAAGCATATAAGTAATTTCCCAATTAATAATACGATCACTACGAGTAAATACACTAGATAGAATGTTAAGCATGGCGTAATGGACATACTTTTATGGAAACCATATTGTACAGTAACGACGAATTAGTCCAGTACAGATATACGAGTATATGTATATTGAATACCGACTCGTCGTTACGGTTTTATTAATGGCATGTGCACACGCTAGTATCGACCAGTAACAGTTTCCCTAATATGCCGCTGTTACAGACAAATGTTACCATTGTTACACTTGTGCAAGGTAACAGGTTGCTGATTCGTCGGCTTCTATTTACTTACGAAGCGGCTGTTCCATGTTCAAAGCGGTAGGCCACGACCACTGGTCCCGCACATGGTTAATTGTTTTATGGCTCTGTCCGCACTTAGACAAGTATGTAATACTGGGCTTCATATGCACTACGGTTAACTCCCGCTGCCGATGAAAGGGACTGAGAGGCAATGAGAGGAGGGACAGGTAAGCGCGGGAGTAGGTGCGGTGACAAAGGGCAGGCAGGCAATCCGGTAGTAAACAGGACGATTCCGCATTCCACGGAGATAGAGAGGAGGCAGTCATCACGTCCGTGCGAAGTCCAACAATTGTCCATCAATGTCCTGCTTTAACGAGAATTCATGCTGGCCGGCGTTTCTCTTACCGCGTTAAACAAAGTTAGCGCACCAGCGCAAACTTCCAATGTCATTAAGCTATGTGAAATTATTTTTCTTAATAAGTTTGCGCTTGCTGTGTTGCGTTGTCCATGGTAGTGAATGGCACTGAAGGCAGATTTATTGCAGAATTCACGGTGCTGTCAGATTTGGTGCTTATTTCTACGAGTGTGTCCGTTATCAGTGGTGGGGAACATGTTTCAATTTTTTTCTCTTAGTCATAGCGGAAAGATGAGTAACCGATACGTGCGCAGCAGTCGTGCCGCAGATACAAGCGGGCTGCTGATATTTGACAGTCCTAATAGAAACCAAAATATATCCGAACACAAAAGGGAAACGTCCAGAAAGTATAAGAATAACAGCAAGTACGATTAAAGCCGTCACTTTACGTACGTACCCATGGCTACCGTATCTATATTCCGTCACCGAGGCACATTTTCCGCCTTCAAATTCAGAGAAATCTCATATTCTGCAGAAACGTACTTACTGTATAAGATACGTATTTACTGTATACTTACCCCGTATTTACTGTATAAAAAAATAGTTACCAGTGCCATGGTCAAGACGACACATTGACAAACACTTTTAAAGCTACCCTTCACAGCAGTACATTACTGCACTTCAGCATTAATTTAGTTAGTACTGCATTGCTACGAGTATGTGTATTGCCATTGTATTTGTATTACCATTGTACTCGTATTGCCATTGTATCTTTATTTGATGACTGAGCTTTTTCGTTATTTCCCTTCTTTGAAAGTTGTGTGAACGTTGAGGATTGTTTGATATCATGGAATCCATAGCTAACCCTTGGAACATCGTCAACGTTTTACGAGAATATATGGCACCAGCGAACGTATCAAATGTCCCGTTGCCGAGAAGGAACGGATTCTTGCATTGCAGCTGAAAGGTACGTGACAAGAGTTACGTTGTCAAAACTCATGTACCAACAACCTTACATGATATGGTCGCTTATAAAATCAAAAAAGAACAAAGTGCAAACATAAAGCCGATTTACTGGAGCATGTAGAGCGTAAAGTATTTTAGGAATTTGTAATACTTTTGGCCATGGCACACGAAACTATTGTTTTATAAATACAGAGTAAATATATAACATTTCTGCTAAATAGGAGGTTTTTCTGAATCGGGAGGCGGAAAATCTGCCCTGGTTAGAAACTTAATAAAAATTTGAGACCCGGCGAGGCGGGCGCGGATAAAAAGTCCTTCTTTCTAAACCGTCGCTATTAGATTCACGCTAGTTCTTGCAAAATTTAATTTTCAATTTACCTGCACAGTGATGTATCCGTGAGGCATGCTCACTAAGCAGAAGTCCAGAACTATCAAATCCGTTCACGGGATTATATTGATATATTGTCGTGCTGCCTGCTTTACGTTGAAAGCATGCAGCTACCCACCCACACAAAGAATTCATGCATTCCTATGAAAATACGTAATTAGCTCACTGCACCCTTTTCTCCTGTTTCTGAATTTTTCCTTTGCCGTTTTGGGTGATATTCTTTTTTTTCTTTGTGGGAAACCGTATTATCGCACCTTCAAAATTTCTGTATTTTTAATGGGCGCTAAGAAGACGCTACTCGTGAAAGGGTTCTTGCTTTCGATGTAACCATAACACTTGCAACCGATACTAATAATGTTTTACCAAATAGTGCTGGTATCTCACGTAGGTATTGTAACGTTAGCTTAACTAACTCAAACTAGGGTAGCGATGTGCCGCTCCAGGAAGCGAGCAAGGTTACGTTAAGTAGGTGGTTGTTGTAGGACAAGGAAAGGTCACAAGCTATCGTAGGCAATTTATTAGCACAGCTCGTAAGTAATTAGAACAGCTCGTAAGTAACGTTATCTGGTACAGTCGATAGCTCATAAGTCGTCAGCTCGTAGAATCTGGCGGAAGGTGGCTAAAAAATGGTCGGTGTAGTAAGCGACAACCTAAATGCGAAGCGCATTTACGCAGTTTGATGAACGTAGTAAAGTGGCCATCGCTACAAGCGCAAACTTCGCGCTATCTGTACCTTTACGTAGGAAATTACCGGACAAGCTTGTACACACTTATATTCGTACGCGTGGTAGTTTCAATTAAAACAGTTTTCCTTTCCATGGATACATGATTTACTGTCTACGGGAATCTACTGTCATGTATGTACGGACACATATATATCCGTTTTAATGTTTCATAACCCGCCAGGCAGTCACAATCAGCACAGCTTCAACGCTGGCAGTGTTCTTGTCATGGGTCTTAGCGGCCAACGGAAGCCTTGATCATGAAAACTTTGCCGACGAATTGGACAACGGTCGCGGCCCAGTCTTCGTCGCTATGCAAATTGATAGGGCCGGGTCCGCCGTAGGGACCGTCAAAGGCCGACGGAGAGTTGGCCAACATGACGGCCCCGATATTGTCAAAGATGTCGCCCAGGGATACATACACTTGGTTCCTGTCGCTGGCTTTTGCCAGCAGTGTCCTCCCGGCAGCTTCAATGGCTATGGCGGCTTGAAAAGCGCTTTTACGTCCCGGAGGAGCAGGAGGCTGACATTCCGCTGCAAATCAAGCCGAAAGTGACTGATACAATAAAAAATTATTCAGATTTCAATACCGAAAATATGATTGATACAAATTCTACAAAATCAATAAATTCTAAAAATCATGGTTTACCTAGTATGATGAGGCAGAGGAGGGGCAAGAAAGCTACCACGAAAGCCATTTAGGGTTCGCTGCAATCGCAAAATAAAAGTTCAATGTAATATATTAACCGTCTCAAATCAAACAGATCAAGCGAAACCGCGAATTAACCAACTATTGTAAGCGCATGTATACCGAGACGCTAAAAATTAACGGCGTTTACTATTGCCCCTAGGTGCGGGTTATTCCTCTTCGAACGACAGTCAGTACAGATTACCGCTAATGTGTTTTGATAGCGACAGTTTTGCTGCTGCAAACTGCGCCTGCGGTTTGTCGGTTTCTAACTACACGTTAGAATTTCTCTGCCTTGAACCTTTGCTTGTCGGTGCTGTCCATATTGTGCAAGTCCACTGGATTACGTACTACTGTGTATACAAGTAGTACATACGACTATTGTATAATTATTATTATACATAAATACATACGAGCAGCTATATCATCACGTAACAGACATCTTATGAGGCTTGTAAACAGCGCGTTGACTTGTTTTTGTCATGATTTTGTTTTCGGATTGACTTGACACGTTATGGCTGGAAACGTTTGCCATGAAGAAGCTCGTGGGATTGTTTTAGTCGGAGTACTTGGAAATTTCTTAATAATCGATTACTTTATCTCTCAGTTCATGGATACGCAGATAATCTACTGTCGTACTTATATATTATGGTTTTCGAATGTAACATTAGGCCCTTCACACCGACAAAGAACGGTTGCTCATGTCACCACAATTCACACTATTCATCACAACATCAATTACACTGTTGGATAGCGCTACACGGTCTTCAACACTATACAATAAAGGCCAAGTCTACAACACTATACAATATAGGTGATTTTCCGAACGCTTAATTAGCGGCCACCGGGAGTGCCGGCATTCTTAATGCCATTGCCGACACCCTGGAACATGGCCGCGCCCAGATCTTCATCGGTGTGCAGATTGACGGGACCGGGTGCGCCGTAGTAACCACCTGATCGCGACGGGGAGTTGACCAGAATGACGGCCTGTATGTTGTCCATGATGTCGCCTATGGATTTATGCACCTGGTTCATGTCGCCGGGGTTGGCCTGCATCGCCATGCCGGCCGCTTCGATGGCCTTAGCGGCCTGCAGACCGCCGTCCGGTCCCGGTGGCACGGTGACCTGGCATTCCACTGAAAATTGCAACCCCATTAGAAACATTTTGAAACAACGGAGCATGCAGTGAACAGAAAACGTCATGCTCACACTTACCTAATACGGCTACGCAGAGGAAAAGCGCCAAAACTGTTAAGGGTGTCATTTTTTGTAATTGCAACTGTCGCGTGTATAAGCTGCGAATAGTCTAAACCCGACAATCGAATAACTTCTTCACAAGATTACGATAAACTAGCGTAACGAAGAGTGTGTACATCAAAAGCGCATACTGCTGTCCTTAGGCAGGGTTGTTCCACTATGAGCATTACGAAGTAATAATTATTACAGGATGTCCACTTAGGTGTCGGCGACATATATGTTTACGCTTTGGCAGCGCCATCACTCAGCTCGTCTCAAGTTCAACTCAACTCAAGTTCAATCGTCTAGACGGGACCAGTGCTGCCTATTGCAAGAACCTTGATGCAAAGTTTCACGAATCGATGTGTACTAATAACCTGGAGCAGTAGATTCGCATGCCACACCTCTGTGGCTTTCACTGCACTTTACAAACTCGCTGCGTTGTCGGCCACACACCGAAGCCGTAACCTGGTCGTAGCGATGGCTGCCGGTTAATGGTACAGAGTAATCAGCGGTAATTATTGTGCCACTGAACTGCTGCTTATTGCGCGCCCATTAGCAGACATTCCGCTATGCCCACATCAAATAGGTGTTTAGTGAAGAGGCTCGTCGCAAATTCGTTTGAACTTTTTACGCTGTTTTTTCCTGTTTATTTCCGTTAACGTTAAAACCTTTACCGGCACATTATCGCCATGGAGAAGCTCGTGGTATTACTCTTTATCGTTGCATGCATCAGTATGTACAACACCCATTAGCCTTACTTTCATTGTATGTACGTAAAATCGGTGATTACGTAATGTGCCGTCGATCTATAATAAATCGTTACAGGTTATGTGCAAACTGACACCCAAGTAACCATCGACCGAGCCAAGCAAATCGTGGCGCTTGCCCAGCAGATGCAGGCCGACATCAACAGCAAGGGGAAATCCTACCAGCACATGGCGGACATTGTGGCGCAGGTGTCTATCATCGTCAACAACACCGACACCGACGGCCAGGCAACCGGCACCAAGGCCTCCAACCGCGCCAGCAACGGACTGACCCTGGCCGGCGGTATCGTTAGCGGTATCGGAGGGGCGCTCTCCAGCTTCGGCAAGCTATTCAATTAAGATACCGGTGACCTTGTTCTCTACACTGATTTGATTTCACTGAGCAGAAAATTGAAATGTCGACTGGTTGGCAGTTTCTTTGCCGGTAGATTCCATTTATGATGCGTAAGGGAAATAATTTCGATGTCAGCACCAAGTTGTCGAATAACCTTCTCTGGTTGACTTAATCGTCACGTGATATATCTGCAGTTGAAATATATCTAGGAATGTTTTACATTGGATTGAGTGATGTTACTTTATGTTGATGATGATAAGGATAACAACATTCTACGAAATAAAGTGGCGCAGGTACTTTGCTTTACTGGGTGTCATTAGTAAGTAAGTATACGTATCTGGTTGCGTGCTTATTCAGTGTTTCGAAGAGGCGTCACCCCTCTGTATCAGAGTGATCGGTCATAAGGCAAAATCATTCGACGTACTAAATAACAAAGCCTGAACATTTTGATCGTTGTTTTTGTCAGGCTGCCGCTCTGGAAACCACACAACATAATTTATTATTATTCTACGCCACAAGAATCCTAAAACATATGAGTTTGATTTCAGTTTTTCTTAACAATTTTTAAAAATTACAGAGTTCCTAGACAACTTTAGTTATTTTATTGCTAAGTAAACAGCTAATAAAAGGCGGAAACGCGCAATCACCTCATTATCTGATTAAATCAAAAATTTGTGTATATGTGTACAAATGAATCGTTATTTAATTAGGCAAGCCTGCTGATTAGGCAAAAGTGCTGGCTGGCAATAATTAAGCACAGAAGCTGACTATAATTTACCCCGTGGCACCCTCTTGCCGCCTGCTAATGTTTGCAGGTCGCTGACCATAAACCGCGAATTTATGCTCCCGGCGGTTGACTGTATATGCGGGTGTCTGTTGGTCATATTCATCATTTGCCATCTCTTACCTTTTGGTCCATTCAGATAGAAAATTCATCGGTGCGAGAACGCTTTCACTACAGCAAAAATAACTTTTCACAATGCAGCTCCTTTTCGTGGCGACCTTTGCCGTCGTTCTGGCTTGCGGTAAGTCGCACGATACCTGAAGATGTACCATCAGTAACACCTAATATGCAACGCCTATCCGTTCAAATATCGGCACAGCCGTCCGCTATTTTAAGACGAACGAAGCGATTACTTTAGACTATTGTATACATATGTTTGTTTTACAGTGTATGGCCAAGCGGCCAACAGTGTCATCGTGGCGCAAGCGCAGGCCATCGTGGCGTCGGCGACGAAGATCCAGGGCGAATCCGGCAACACTAACGCGGTGTACACAGATATGGGCGACATTATGACGGCCGTGGCCAACATCGGCGACGCCCTCGTTCAGTCCAATACCAAACTCAGCGGTCGCGCTTTCAACGGATTATCCTTGGCCGGAGGTATTCTGAACGGTATCGGTGGCGCTCTCACCGCAGCTGGCAAATCCTAAACCTGTGCATCCGAACCACATTCCGGCATACGGGACGCAACCTGCTAAGGAGCCATCCGTTTGTGAAAACAGAACTTTTTCTCGATTTCAATGTATATTTTTTATGTTTACGATACAATAACTAAAGTTTAGCATAGAAATGCATTCCAATGTGTGTTAAGAATCGCTTTGCGCCATTGAGGTGGCTACAAGCACTGCTGATATCGTGAGATAAACCATTTCTTATCCTTGTGCGTACTGGCTTTCAAAAGTCGATACAAAGGCGTTTGTTGTACAACAAGAGCAGTTCTCCTTACATCAGCATACATGTGTAACTAAAACTGTTATAAAATTGTTCGTATGTCGTGCATTCTTTGCCGGTCGGTTCTTACCAGATGGATTCCAGCTGGAGCAGCGGAAATATGTAGAAGCATCTGACGGTTCATAGACCTCAGAATGGTATAAGTTTCACATTAAATGTGAAACTTATACCATTGTGAGATCTATGATGCATGATGCAGGGATGCTGTTTAATTATATCTGTTCACCAAATCTGATGTACAGTCTACAGATATAAATTAAACGGCAACCCTGCATTACGCATTGTCGCAAATGCCCATTCCTCCGCTGCAAATTAAATTTGTGAATATCAGCGCAATCGTTTCAGGCGTTATTGCCGCGTTAACAATAATTACATTGTATTTCGGTCTGGTTCGCAAAAACATTCTATTAAAGTCGATATTATTCACTGAAAAATTGCACAGACAGCGGCGCGAAAAGCGATTCACCAACCTCTGGCTTTTGGTGACTACTGACTGCTACGACCTAGTGATTCATATGTCATATCTGTATGTGCTCAGTGTCGAAGGTGTTCGCTATTCGCTACAGCTAAAAGGCATATTTTTCCAAAATATTGAAATTCGATTTTGGACAAACACGCTTTTGTTGATCTGCCGGATGGACTGTTGCTGATCATAAGTATGAAATCTAGAAACATGCTCTGTCCATTTGGCTGGCAATCGCTTCGTGACTACGGTACACGTACAGAATTCACTGCACTCGTCAAATTACCTGACTGCGCCGTTAGATACAAATAATACACGATTTAAGCGTTGGTTCATGATGAACGACGCTGCGTCATAGAAGCTTAAAATCAAGGGCATTTATGATGATCATGAATACTGTACATCAACACTGAACTCCCATTAAACCGAAAAACAGCTAACGTTGCATGTTTTGGCGAACAGGATATGAAACACTGCAAAAATTTTAATTTCAAAAGTTTGGTATTTTCAAGCATGAATGCTGATGCTGCATTATCGCCGGTTAAAAGTGACAGGATAATTAACGCAGGATGACCATAGCAATACCAACGACTATGAAGACAAAAAACACACATCCAATGACAATCCCGGCTATGACACCTCCATCCATTGAAGCTGAGACTGTAACAACAAATTCAAACATGAGTTAAGGACCTGCAAGTCACGCTTAGATTGTCAGTAATGAGATTGTCTGTACCGCAGTTGTCTTGTGGCCCACTGGCCGGTTTCATAGCATGAACAGCATCCTTATAATTTGCCGGACAGTTTATCCGATTATCAGTGTTGTCACAGAGGTACTCGCTGTGAATGTAGCCATCCAAGGCGTAGCACGGTGAGACATACGAGTTGTTCTGTCCTGTAAGTTAACAGACAGGATTAATCTTTTTTTAAAAAAAAGGATATTAGTATGTTAATGCAAAGAAATGGGCATACGGTCGACAAGGATGTAATCAAAGGTCACTCCGTATTCGGGGCTAATCGCGTTCGTCCTAGGCGGAGTATACTCGATGGACAGTTCAGGTTGGCGAGCGTACGATGATCGCACTTGACCCACGGAGCCGCTGCCGGTCTCGCTGCTCAGCTCACCACCACCCCATGATTTCGCCAGGGACTTTTCTGGCCGTAAATCGTAGATTTCCATTATTGCATTTTCCGGAAGATTGGACTTCCTATTAACCATTTTGTTCTCACTGGGATTAATTGCCAGAATAAGGCTGCAATCATACCGAATGTTTACGTATATGGCATACTCCGTCCCGTATTTTCCACAGAACCCATTAGTTTTCAACGTGATCTCGCAAAATTCATTAGGTAATGGCGAATGGTTGAGCGTTCCCGCGCTGGTCTGGTGCTTGTTTGGACATTGCAGATACACAGAATGGTCACATTTCGCTTTCAAGGGAGCTGAAAAATGATCAAAAACATGAGCGATGTTGCTATGCCTCTTAACAAGTAACTTAAGGCTTACGCACAGACTTTCTGATATTCCAGAGCGTTTGTGCCGGCAGGGTATACTAGAAATAACGAAAACGCAATTGCAACCAAGTTATGAAACAGCACTGAGTTCCCCATTTTTGGAATGATATGCAATCCTCCTCTTCACAATTTGCCGTTCCTGGCGAATCCAATCTGGATATGGCGCAGGGGATTGCAGAAAATTTGGCGAGATTATTAACTTTAACCACCGGCAGCATTTGCAGACACGTTGTGCCGAACGGATAGGATGTTTTATTATACCAGTCACCATCATGCCTAAAGAGAATGGCTGCTGATAAGATATGCTTGTTAGTTGTTATAACTCGATAACACTGTCGGGCTCTAAATCGTCGAAAAATCGTCGAAAATGACTTCACAATAACCAAACTTTCACGAGCTAGCAATATTATCTTAACTGTTTGTCAGTTTCGTAATGCCGGAATACTACAAGTATCGGTAGTATCCTTGTCTTTTGCCGCAGTATTAAAGCGATCCGCCATGCACTAGTACGCAAACGTTAACATTATTTTGTAAGTGCACTGACAACGTCTAAGACCTCATAATAATTCAACCGCAGGAAAATTTTTTGAGCGAAGAATTCCAGTAGTTTTTCGGCATAGGCCTTGAAACAGAATTATCGTTTCTGTTATTCCCAGTAGCGCGTGACGATAAGTGATAACCACCGTATCGACAATTAATCGATCGATGTACTGCTATGTATACCTTAGCTTATCCATTAGCCGTGGCCAGTGATAATAAAACATAAGACGAACGATATAAGAAGCAGATGGTTATCTATTTGCAAGTGAAGGACGGTGGGGATTGCGTACCCCAACGGCTAAGGACATCCGTGGCCTGTTGTACATGAGGTCCGGGCACCATTAAGCAAAATCAATAAGAACGCCAGAAACGCGGAAACCTAGTACCAACGGGCGGCACATGTAAGTGTACATACGATTTCCCGTTAAAATGTTAAAGAACCAATTTACAAAACAATCCCGCTAGTGACATATGCGACTTTGTTTCCCACTATGATAAACCTAGTCTCGCAATTTACTACGCTTGGACCTATTAACAACCGCAAAACATATATAACTGCTGGGAAGAATTTATAATTTATCTAAAATTGCTGATTTGTATGTCTCTCGGTTTTAAGGAACACAGATGCCATTTTAAGTTTTTAACTAACAACTTGAACCATTTAAATTTAATGTTATTCGGTTTCTGGCGTCACTTTCTGTTGCCGACGGCCCGACAATAACATGATAATATCACTTTGACCGCTTATTAGTAAAGAATGCACTGACAGGAAAACCTATTAATTTTAAGATTCTGTCTTGACAATGAGGCGAGTCGATTGTATAACCCATTCATGGAGGTGGCGATGCGGGCGAAACCAGAACTCAACCGGGCCCGTATCCTTCGCACTCGTCCGGGGAAAATGCAGATTCAGCGTAAACGACGCTCCCGGTATATTCGCGGTGGGGCCCAGACCGGTGGCGGTCTGGTAGCTCCACTCCGGCGGGAGAAAGCTCATATAGGGCTCTTCCCGTGGCACGGTAATCAATCGGCCGTTATGGCGCCACATGTACTGATTGCGCACATTGTCCACGACATCCGGCGACAGCGGCAATCGCACTGTGCAGGTTATCAGTGTGCTTATACCTTGGTTGACAATTATTGGTTGTAACGGCGACCAACTTCCGACAAAAACCTCCTCCGCCCGCGTCACTCGGGGTATCAGGGAGTAGCGCTTCAGGACAGTTGCCTTGGTAGAGTCCTTGAAGCATACAATCTGACCGGTGGACAGCAGAGATACATTGATGACGCGCAAGACACTGACGCCGTCTAGCTGTACAACATCGTACTGTACTTGGGACACGCTGAGCGCTCGTCCGTCTTCGAATACGGTGCGGCCCAGGACGGTCCACGTCAAGCTGTCAGGTGAGCCGTCCAACGGTATATCACAACTGAAGGAAGCGTTTTGTCCAAGGCGCGCACGCTTGACGCCGTCGATAACAAGCGGTTGCGCCAAGGTGGTAGGTCCTGGAAATTGAAGTGTGACCATATCGTCTTCTTTAGTGCGCAACGCCCGGTCCATTATATCCCCCACTGCAAAAAGGCAGCTGTGACGTCGAACTCGGTCGTGATTCTATAGTGACGAATATACGGCTAACTGGCTGATTATTCTGATCAGAAACTATGCGGATTATACTGTAACTTTACAAGCCAGGATAAACATTGTTACTCGTAGGTTGCATTTGTTAGGGCAGGAGCAACTAATGGTCAAAACTCCATACTAATTAGCATAAAACTTACGAAATTTTTCGGAGTAAGAATCCCCTGTCTTATGCACCGTACAGGCGCTGCAATGATTGGGAAGATAATAACGCCACAGACAGTAGAATAGCAGGCGGTAAAAAACCAGCGTAATGTGCATGGGTGCATGAAGGCTGCGGGATTAGGCAGGTTCCATTGGCTTAATAAAAATCGCGACTGCATTCTCTCCAGTTATTTATTAAGCACAGCTGCAATTTGACTTATTTTTATGCCTCGGAACAGCGCGCGAGCCTTCCTGGTAATCAGGTGGCATATTGCGAGCAATAATTAAATACAATGACAGTAATGCCAGAAAAATGTGTAATTATGATGATACGTGAGAGAGGCAGTTAAATTACTGAATTATTTACTTCAGATAAATTGTTGCTGTCGGTCCCAGGTCATGTACAAGCTAAGCTACAAAACAATTGTACAAGCACAGTGAGATTAGCGCAGTGTCAGCGCCTAAAATGATGGCTACTGCATTATAGTTTGGGGAGAGCCGTGATTTTGTATTTTTCGTTGTATCAGTTTATGCTTAACTTGTAGCACGGCATGTAGGTGCAGAAACTGCAGAATGATGATGCCAGTGAATCTTAACCGAACGATGACGCTATACGTATCACCGGCCCTAACTCTGATTGTTGGATGTACGTTTTGCAGGTTGCTAGGGAGCCCTCGCCAATTTAGCAATCACCCTCAATTTTTTTAGCACTTTAGCAATTTTAGCATTTTAGCAATCGTCTTTCACGTGAACTAAGTGTTACCATAATTATCCTGTTGAACTGGCGGATGTACCCTTCCTGTACGACGTTTTTGGCATAGGATGGTTCGGCATAAGGCATTTTGACAGTGCAATTTGTTTTCTTTGAAGTATTTTTTGTCGGAAAGTGTATATAAAGGGCTTATCTTGCTCATGTTTTTGCCTGTCTTAAACTTGTTGGATGTTTTTATTTGGTCACTACGCTAAAAAAGGGCAAGACATCAGTTTCGGTTATGAAATAGTCGTTATGGCAAAATCGATGTCTGGCCCCGTGCTCTTCCAGCCGGTTTACGCAAAGAGGAATCCTTAGTGAAATCACGGGGCGTCGGTGAGCAGGAAATTTGACACACATAGCTTAGTCACCGCTGCTCGATGGGAGGGCGCGTTTATGCCGTAGAAACTCGGAATTTAGGAGACCTAATTCGGAATTTTAAGTATTTTGGCTTTCGATAATGCAGTATAAGATACTAAAATCACGAATTTAAAATTGTAAGTCTATGGGTAGGATTACGAACAAAAAATTCAATAGTAATCTTGTTTGTCGAAATACGAATTACGAAGCACCAGTCTGCTTACCGTTTTATTCACAAATTAATTTTAGCGAGAGAAACCGCTGTCAGACGAACAAATAAAAATATTCGGGACAAAGATCAGCGTGGGAGAATTGCATCTACTAAGTGCTTATTCAAAACCGTGTAAGGTTCCATGCCGAAATGTACACAATCGAAGAAGCAAAACCAATGACCAAAACGTTTACAGACAAATTAGACAGTGGCTAAAGCCATGTGCAGTTAAAAGATCAAGAACAGGAGCCTATACCGAAAATGCAACTTCTTCTCACTGCTTATACACGAAATAATTATTGGCCTAGAAATTAATCGGTATCGCTTGCTGTACTGTACTTTAGGCGCTTCGTAGCGGAGAGTCGTGTGTTGCGGTTTTGTGACAAATCGGCAGATGTGCGGGTTGCGTTAAATTTAAACTGGTGCAGGTATGACCTAACGACTTCGAATTTTGGGCATAACATTTTCATCCTCCTGCCCTCAAGCAAGAATCTTGCGGAACGGTGAAAAGGTGATTTTTGCGTGGTCACGGAGGTTCAGGATCAATATCCGTTATCCATCCGACGCTGTGGCGGTAATGTCTCAGCAGTTGCGGCAGGAGTTGTCGAGTTTTGCAGGTTTGTCGATGATTTCAGCCGTTTCATATGTGTTACGCAGCCGGCTTTGAACGTAGGCGATATCTCCATCAGCGTATTGGTGTTGGCATGCTAGCTGCTCCATGTCGTGCGGATGGCAGGTTATGTGCGCATGGAACTGCCGATCGTAGTCGCACCAGTTGGGCGACCGGAGGCACAATCTCGTCGTACGAGGCAATAATGTCAAGGTCAGACTCGGGTGGTATGAAGTAGCGGTACATGGCAAACCAAACTGGGATTGAGACGTTGTGTATTTAATCGTCGTCTGGGATTATGATGGTATTTCCTTGCCGAATCTGCACAATATTAATATTGAATCTACTTAAAAACGCAAAAATTAGTATAGGGTTGTACAAAGTTATACGCGATTATGTGTGCCCGATTGCTGGTGCTGCGTTTAAGCCAGTGCAAATGTAGTAAGTAGGTATGTATGCAAATCCATAGACTGAATAATTAATTATTAATGTTGGGACGTTTAGCCCGAAAATATTCAACTGCCGAATGCAGGCAAAGTTTCCAGTCAAATTTCGCTGCATATTAAACCCATCTCAAAATCACCTCAAGGCTTTTATCGTATTTCTCAATTGAAAATGCTAACAAACACCTATAACACGGTTTCGAACTTTCAGCATGACCTTATTTAATGCAATCATGCACGCATCTCAGATAAGTGCCAACTGGCAACTTACAGGCAAGAGAATAAACTGTTACGGAGATAAAACGGTTTGTATACCATTAAAAATAATCATTGGGCAATTTTACTTACTGTACATGATGTCCACGGAGAAATTAATTGTCCAATTAATCATTAGCAATATCCACTGGTCCTATAATACAGTACGAATTCCAAATGGCCAAAGATCAAATATTGCACGTAAATGTATCCGGTGCATGGCCAGAACTTCGGTCTCAACCAACAGGGTGAACTGAATGAATAATCCGGTTGGCAAACCAGAATTTATTTTAGGAACCTCAAAGGTCACAACGAATAAATCTGGTATTTAAGAAAGAAAGCGATTATACTTTTCATAACAATACTAGAACTTAGAAGTATACGTGCATCATTCGCGGATTTCGCAATGCAGTTGAAATGGCATTACGATCATTGGAACAGTTACGATCAGCGGACTCGAACACATTTAATAAAGTTTGCGCAAAATAACAATTTAATAATGTATTTGACAAGATAACAATTCACTGACAAATACGTGCAAATACTGTATTACGTATTTGCCGGTCACGTCGCATTAAAATTATCATAATTGTGCCCCATGAGGATTTCCGTTAACATGCAAGAGCTGTTGTGGAGGAAGATAAACAACCGCCCGTTGTCGTAATAACTTCAACGGGTAAAATTCCAGAATTCTGGCCCAGATTTCCTCGCGCCGGTACCACCCTTTCCCAAAAAACTTTCTCGCAAAAATTATTTTAAAAATTAACCAAATTAAAAATAGTACGGGAACAAGAATTAGAACTGCGATCACAATGGCGGCGACAATGGTCCACATTAATGACGACATATCAATCTTACATAAACATCGACAACAGTCAGCGATGTTGGCAGGTAATCTAGCGGAGTCAGTCAGATTATCCATTTTATACAAAAAAAATAAAAATACAGTAATGCAACCTGCTGCAAGGTATGCAGCATACTGAATCAGATAAACGCCGAGATTTTTCCTTTCATAATATAATCCACTGACGTTAGTACACCTGACGAGCAAACCGTCTAGGATTTCTTGGCAAAAAGTCGCCATGTTTTTCATACTGGTAAAAACAGAAATGAATTGTCCGCGAAGAAAAAGCAAACTACACAGACTGTCGTGCCTGGTTTATTGAATGGCGCTAGGAAGAGGTTTTTTTGCTTTATCTGTCTGCTTCTCGCTACGCAGACAGTTACACAGAAGAGATGCGAGTCGATTCGCTGGATCCATTAATCACAGGCATGGCGCTGGTATGGATTTAGCACGACCGCTGACTTTGAATTCAGATAATCATGCCGCAGCTAATCGTTTTTATTTATTGCAACCCAACGCAGCAAAAGAAGAGCAGCGTGATGGTCGTGGATGTGATGATTCAATTGTATGGCAGTGCTGGTATCAATAAATACCAAGAAAAGCCAGATGAAATTTTGCAGCCTCTTGTCAGGTAAACGGTGCCGTGATCACGATCGGGGATTTAACAGGAGTAGGCTGGAAAGTTAATTTTACCGGACTAGGGCAGGAAACGAGGCGTGAATTATTGAATTCCACTGGGACTGTTCCATGAAGAGTGCGTACATAACAAGCTGAATGGAATATCAGCTGGATGAAAAGCTGACGGGACCACGTATGCTTTTCCGGTATTTGGTCGGCTTAAGCGCTGCGGGACAAGCATCCTCGGCAGCGCTTCTGCCGCTCAGCGGTACTTTACACGCATTTATTATTTACGCCGCTGCAATCTTGACATCCGTGGACATAATGCGAGGGATTTCACCTTTTCACTTTAAGAACGCTGTTAGTAAAGTGTTAGATATATACCGTATAATGAAAACAAAGGAGGGAGACCATGTTAAGACGTCGTTACACAAGCGGAGTAGGTGCAACATCTGCGAAAACTTTACTTACTAATCTTATCCTTTGATACACACGTAATACAAGATACCTCCTTAATATTTCCTTCAACGGTAATTTCTTTAACATACAGTTTATAATGATTTATTAATCGTTTTATCCTATAATTTACATGATACATTCAGTAATAACCTCAAGGTGAAACACAATAAATAATAAAAATGTTGTACAGAATTGTCTTGATGAATTTAATCAGCTCTATGTGCTAGACTGTGATTCAATAACTTAACATTACTGTAAATATTTCCAATGATCTATTAATGTTTTTCCAATGCTCTACGATTTTTTTCGAATCTTAAAATGAAATTTAAAATTTTTGAAATTCATTTTAAAATTTGAAAAACATGCTAGAACAGTGGATCCGTGTCAAAACGATCTTCATGGTTATGTGCATTTAAGTGCAAAGTTTGAAAGGGATCGGTCCATAGTGAGACTTTTGGTACACCTGAATGCATTTAAACTTTTTGGAATTTTGTTACTCTCATAACTCCGCAACCGGATGTTGCGCGCAAAAACGGATTTCACGCCTATGTACACCAATTATTTGGCTACACAATGTCAAAAAGCAACCCAAAAAAGTGTTTGAAAGTGCGCGAAAGCGAATATTCCCGTCAATGTACACGATTTTAGTGTTATGTACCGGGCCAAATCCCTTAATACGCGTGCAATCACGCGACATATAAAAGCAGTGCGAGCAATTTGGTGCTTTCACTGTGTGTGCTTAACATCGTTATTGATTTACCGAATCAGCCGCTCAGCTTCCGGTGTCGGTGTCGCTGCAATGTTCACCTGCAGGATTCTTGTTTTATGCTGAATACTGCGTTTCGCCGTTGATAGTTTTACTGAAAATATGAGCACACGGAAAAACTATAAAAACACGGTAATCACCAGCCTGGTACTGACCGCACCAAGTAGTGAGATAAAGTATGTAATTAGCAAAATGGAAATTCGACAATATTTTGAAAATGCACATTTATACTGTACTGGTACGCAGAACTTATACATTTATCTAACTTATGTATTTATCAGCAGCTATTCAGCTATGTTAACGATAAAATATTGCCGAATAATTATATGGTCTTAATATAAGCGTATTTAAATGAGGTTGGAAGCAAATTCTGGAAATCAAATAGGGCAAGTTTATACAAATACGTGATTAAAATACATGCGAGTATGCACTTGAAACCTGATAGCTGGGAAAAGGACTGCAGCAGCATACCGGAGAAGCACGCTCGCATGAATATCTGCGGCAGCGTTTGTTCATAGAAATTCAACGGGGAAATTCGGCGTCAGTGCTCGGCATGATGGAAGGGCTGGATTAGCTAAACGAAATTTTTCTGTTACGATTCAGCATGCTTTTTTTACATACAGTATATTTGTGTATTACGTTTTCGATTTGACCAATAAAGTGCGGGAAGGGAGTACTTTATACTGCATTATGTTTAACTTAATCAGTTTTAATTTTTATTGGCAAGCGAAATTATACAAGCATATAAAGGAGCGTTGTAAAAGCATTTGCCGGCAAGTGGCAACTACAGTATTTGGTAGTTGACTATTATTGCTTGCAGGTGGAAGCACGGTCTTCCTAAAAACTACAGTTTTTTTGTCCACCAAATATCAGAAACCGCCATGCACCCAGTAAATTATTCTTTTACATATGCCCGGTTCAAAACATTCTGACTCGGTAAACTGTGAGGCCGGTCGTAGGAGCGGTGCCCCACAAACGTGTGCACATCCAGCCCATCCGCACCGGTCCCGGGTACATTGCGCCACGCCGAGAAATCGTGCTTTCCACCGGACTTCTTATCATTCCAGGCTTCCTCCCCGGCGACGGCTGCCAGTACGTATTCGGTCTTCACACAGCGCAGTTCCGGGAACTCGTTGGGCGAGGCATCCCGGCGACGCGAGCGCAGCGCCACATGTCCCAGGCAGGTGTACCCGGCAGTGGGCACCGGGTTGTAGATGGTCACATCCAAATCCGCCCCGGTTTTCTCGTCGTCATACACCCATTCCAGACGACTGGGTGGGCGCAGGGCATCCTCGTGTCCCGGCAACGCTTTGACGAGGACGGCGTAGTCGTGGCCGGAGTTGATGACATGTCCTTGCTTGGCGTAGTGACCGAGGTAAAAGTATCCTAGAGGAAGGCCGACGGGTTGCCAGAAGGAACCGTCCCGCGTGGCACCACTGCCTTTATCGGTCCAGACCATTTCCAGGTGACGGTGGATCTGCGTCTGCAGGATCGGTTGTCGTGCGAGACTAGCAGCGAACGTCCCACTCGCCAACGCCAGTAACATGACCACTGATGAGTACATTTCCACCAGCAGATTAAAATAAGGCTCTTGAAAAGACTGGCAGCAACTATAACAAAATACGCTGATAGCGGCGTCCGTATACGGTAGCTCTGAACGATGCAGTTAGTTATGGTGGCTGTGAGGCAACGCGGTGTTTAAATACTTCCACCGACCGCGCCGGTACCCTGGCGGCGTGCTATCAGATGGCGGAAAGAACAGTGGAATGAACGGCGCTTCTCAAAAGCCGCTGATGGTATCCATCCATTTCCAGTATTAAGCGGTGCTGGTGAGTCATTTTCGGTGTATGTATATGCATATTCCAGTCTTAATGAGTCGTCAGTAGTTTTTGCAGCCTAATTAGTCGCTTCTTCCGATTAAAAATTTTATCGGATATTAGGATCTGCTTTTCACACAACACTTACAATACCCGACTACTGTACACTGGAAACATTTGCCGCAGCACACGTACTATTTAATGACACGGTCTTTTTCTCACAAGTGAGTGGTTTAATTCATATTTAGAAACTAAAGTCAGATCCTTCGAAGTACGTACAAGGTGCGCAGAAAATTTCATTGCTTATTTTCGCACAGAGAAAACTATGATAAGTTATTACCCTCTAAATGCGGGAAGTTAGCGTCTAGTTACAAGCTAGCCCGTATATGAAATTTCGTCCAAGTATCGGCAAGAGGCTAGATGAAATTCGTGTTCATTTGTTCATCAGCTGAGGGCGCACATGTAGACACTATACAGTGTACATGGAAAGACATCAACATCATAATTAATTTTACTACAGTACAAATACTCTAGGAGACCAGGCGACAGTTTCACGGCACTAAGCACGTTTAAATTATGGAGAATGTACAAAATCAACCCTTTCACAATTGTGATCGCACTCCACAAATAATCTTTTGACATTGAATCTGCTACTTGCTAGGCGTCTAATTAGGTGTGGACTATTCTGCGCGTTCTGGTTGCATTCACGTTGATGCGGATTCTTGGTAAGAAGGTACCGACTGATACGGTCCGACAATGCCCTTTGCTGCCTCGGTGGCACGAAGGGAATTCTGCGCACGTCTGCGTCGGATCAGTATCGCCAGTGGAACGACGACACCGATCATGGCACCAACACAGCCCAGCACGACACCGACAATCATCCAGGCTGCAGACAGAACACCATACTATTTTTTACTACGCAATGCTAGCAAGCCAACGATTTCCACGTACACGTATTGGCTGAGGAACAGCGTTGTCTGCCGGTTGCCGGGTTTCGTGCAATGCTGTCTACGTAGTTGGACGGACAGTTGCAGCGGTCGTCCCGGCCATCTCCGCCGTGATCGCACATGTACTTATCCATGAGGTATCCGCCGAGCGCGTCACAGTACGTTCGGTCCGGACTGGGAAACTCTACAAAGAACCGTTTAGTGGCACAAACAACCGTGTGCTATCGTCCGTTTCAGCACGCATATGTACTGAGAACTTCTTAGTAAGGAGTACGCTGCAGCGAATCATAAAGGTGGGACCGAATAAAGTAGAGCGACAACATCTACAGAACTGACCTTCAATAATACGAAAATCGATAGATTCACGTAGAGCCATTGAGACGTTCGTTTGGTTCCTGGGTTTGCTGAACTGTAGTGTCAAACTGGGCTGATTGGAATACAGCGACAGCAGCTGCGCGACAGAGCGCGGATTCTTGAAGCCCGCCATGCCTCCGATCAGGTGTTTGACGAGGGTTCGAACGTCATTTCTGTCTTCATACACTTCCACAACATGATGCCTGGATTCCAGTTTCCTGTAAATAAACCAGCCTTTTAATTATCCCGTTCTGCTGCTTTGAACAGCGCTTTCTCATGTTCCGTTAAGAACGAAGTCCGATGTATTTTTATATAGCAAATAAGTCCGAACCGTACGGAAAATTTAGATAAATAGCATATCGATCCGTTTTCTGGCCGCGGCTGTCAAAAATGAACCCGCATTTGTCCTCCAGGGCCAGGTGGATCGTACAGCTGTTACTGGGTGGCGTCCATCTCAGTGTACCGAATCTCCCGGCATCATCGAAGGGGCATGGGATTACGATCTGTTCTCCACATCGACGTGGTAGATCAAGGTTTACTGCAATTAAAGAATGCAAAATACACGAATTTCTGTCTGCTGTTCAGTAAACGTTGGCTGTGGGTATGAAATACATACTAACTTTCGGAGTAGTATACGTAGGCCGCAGAAACATTCGTCAATGTTGCGGCAGCCAAGAGAATTCCTACATAAACATATCGAAGAGCATCCATTTTGTCCCAAGTGTGCAGAAAAAATAAAGCGTTTTGCGTACTAAAGTACTCGCAATAAAATTTGGAAACGTTCAAAGTGGTGCTTCAAGTCAAACTGTCGTGGATTTTGGTCATATATGCGCAGCGGGCATGTGAACAACAACCAGGTTAATCAGCGAATGCCATGACAAAGCCTTGCACGATAATGAACAGCGGAATGCATTATGGCCATGCAAATAGTCACGCTTGTGGAATTCTAACTGTATATACAATATATCGCCGGTAATCGGTGTTAAATGCAATCAATCTGTACTTGCGGCGCACATTCGCAGCGATAATAAACTAATAGCAGCAGCATGACATCATTTCCCATATCCAGTGCTTTCTAGTAAAACGTTTTTGTTTTATAAAAAGAACACAGACTAAACAGAATTTCTCCATCATAACCAGCATACGATCAGACTAGATAAATTTGTAGCAGAAATCGTGATTGAGATGAGCAACTCCAGTCTGTCGAAAGTTTACCAAACAGCACTGCGTTAGTTATTTCTTCCGTAATCTGCACATCGTAATTTTAATTTTTCAGACAGCAGTTCAGCATTTATCACCGCAATGCGGCTCTGTATAACACTGCTGATTGTAAGCGGGCGGGGCGTTCTGGTAGGACGGCATCTGCTGGTACGGTCCCACCACCGTCGGCTCGTGGACACAGGTGCGGGCCACCAGGATGCGGTGGTGTCGGCGGCGCGCCAGGAGAACCACCACCACAATGATAATGATGAAACCAATGCTGCCCATAATGGCTCCGACAATTAAGCCGATGGAGCCGCCGTCTGCAAAACATACACGCCTATGTACAACGTTCGACAAACCGTGTAAAATTACGACCAAAGTTTTTATCAAAACGGGTTTGAATAAAAATAGTTAAAATAGTTTCGCAGTTATTGAAATAAGTTCTTACGGGTGCCACAGTTCGAGCCGCGGGTGTATGCTGGATTGCTGCCCAGACTGGCAGTGTACGTGTACGGACAGTTGCAGCGGTCATTCCCGCCGTCATGGTCACAAATGTAATCATCGTTAACGTAGCCGTATAGAGCGCTGCAGTATGTGTTACCGACAGTGGAAGACTCTAGAAATGATCCGCATTAGCATTTTCGTGATAACATTGTATTAGTTCTTATAATGCAATCGATACATTAAAGTCAGCGTACCACGATGTGGCTGCTATAAATTATTGTACAGAATACCACAGAGTACTCGATTCTGTCATAATTGATGTCTGTCATCCTTATCACCGCTGCTTATCGCTCACCTTCCACGATAACGTAGTCGATGAGCAGTTCGTGCCCGTAGACCGGTGCCGTCGTCGCTTGTCGCAGGTACTGAATGGTTAAAGAAGGTCTACGAGAGTACGAAGACAACAGCTGGGCCACGGATGCCGGATTGGTCATCGCCGTCTGGTAACCGCTTAACTGCTTGACCAGGGTGGGAGTGAACGGCCACGGTAGCTGCTGTTCATAGATCATCATGGTATCTTGATTAACACCACTGCTGGACGGAAGATCAAACTTGCTGCCAAACAGAAAGAAGACTTCATTTCAAAGTTTCAAACATCAAAACCACGAAAAAAACTTCCGAATATCGCTGTTTTCTATGTAATTTATTAGCGGAAGCTGCATATACCGGATATTGAAATAAATAGCATATCGGTCAGAGGAGAAACCGCAGTTGCTTTCCAGCGTGAAGTTAACCTGGCAGTTATAATCCGGAGGGGGCGACAAGCGGAGAGTTCCCGCGCGGCCGTTGAGGGTCGATGGGCAGGAAACGGTAAAGTTCTTCCCACACCACATCTGCAGATCGACTGTAAACAAAATTTATCATGCCTGTATTTTCTAGCAAAAATTCAGCTGTAAAAATACACTGGGCTTATTTATAGAATATTTTTACATGCTCGTTTGAAAAAATTTTTTTTGTCATACTGCTTTTTAAAACCTTCCCTGCTTTTGTACGTTATACTGTAGTCCAAACTATCATGGAACAAAAACATTTTCAAAAAATAATCCGCCAAATATCGACAGAATGTAAGCTCGACTGCTTGAAACTGTGCCAGTTATCCGTACTAATCTAAGTTTACCTGTTGGGTAATAAACACCGAAAACGCTGGGACATCCTATCGCCACTAAAAGTATCCCGACGTGAATAGCAGAGGCTTCCATTTCCAAAGGTGTTCCCAAAATTTCAAATTAATGTCGTAATTTAAATGTGTACAGGAAGTCATGCGATGAGGAAATACCGCCACTAAGCCTTGCTTTACAAATGCCGTTTAACCTTGCACACACGATTCAAACGTTTATGCACGGTCTTTCTGTACACACTTTATAAATGCTGATCTTGCACATACATTTAACACCTGCTACTTGATAAACATGACCGCGAAATCAAGCTAATCGATAAATAGCCGGTCAAAGTCCTCTGTTAAAATTTCAAGCGATAACGGAAGTAAAGTTTGTCATATCGTAGTAACTGAAGTAGGCTCGGCACAGCGGATGCATTACACATTACCAATAACTTGATATAAAAAATCGTAAGTTTTAATTTCCGATATTTTTAACTTGCCGGTGTGCATAATCTTTAAGCATTACCTTTCTAACTTTTTTTCACTCATGTTTTTATGTTTTGCTGTCATCTTTCATAAACATTAGCCGTCATAATTATTTTTGCTATAGAGTAGTGTTGATGATCTTTTTAAAAGGTCATCAAAAGCGGCATCGTATTTATATATTTATTCAATTTTTGAGCATGAGATTCGCCAACCCGATGTGCGGTCTTTCACTGCAGTATCAGCAGGTGTTCGCAATTTCATTTCAAAAATATCTGGTAACGCTTTCATGGTTTATTAAGGAGCCAAACCCATTAACGGGCCATGTATATGATGAATATAAATCAATATATGTACTAGTATATGAGGATGAATATATGATAAGATCATCATATATATTCATTCCTACATGCATCATATATTCATCATATTCTTGTTAATATAATTTTTGTTTACCATTCATATTATATATGATGATGAATATACGAGTGTTCGTATGATGAATGTACAGTATGTATGGATCGTTGCCCATGAAACGTATTTTTTCTGAGCGGAACATGTGTATGATAGGCGTAATTACATATAAATATTCAGTTAAACTGTTAGAAACTCAAACGCGGTTTGTCGGCTTAACGGAATTAAACTCCATTCACTTCCTTGAAATTCAGTAAAATAAAAATCAATATTATTCCCACATTAATTCAAAACAATCAATGAATTACTTATGTGCGAAAGACAAGTGTATCAGAATAATATTGTATGTAGAAGTATTACAGATTGTGTTCGATCCCTTTCACGTCCACTGTACACACTACACAATACTTTATCTTCCAAGTTGTTGAGCATCTTTATTGGGTTTTCCTCTGCATCCATTGATCCCGTATTCCCTAAATAAACATCACCAACAACACGAACTTTCTTGTAACAATGTTGATACAGTACAATCCTACTAAACCCACTGTATACACTACATGTACCAACACTGCGCAGATGTTAACTGCTGCTGCCACACGACAATGCAACGCGACCTCCAACATAATACTCCTCTTCTTCCCGGTTTCCACCCAGTCTCCCTTTACCAGTGCCTCTTGACGGGCTTTAGCATTGAAACGCTGTGACAGTCTCCGTTTAAGATGCCTTTTGTAATCATTTATTCAACGTAAATTCAATAAATTACGCATCCCAGCCGCCTTCAGTATCGCTGAAGTAGAGCGCATAATGGATGTGACGATGATGGAAACTGTACACTATTCAGCGCATTAGCACATTGTGGTTGGCCTGGCGATCTTTGTGACTTCTTTATTGAGTGCCAGGATATTTATACGGTAGCACATTTTTGTATGTGACACATTTTTTACGCTCTACAGTTTTTTTCATTTACGCTTTTAACGCCTTACCATTTTCTAATATGAATTCTTCCCACAGTAATTTCACATCACCAGTATTTCCTTTTGATATTAAGTGGAATGCTTTCGCCATCACCCGCTTAATCGTGGCCATCGGCAGTTTCCTTTTCAACACCAACGTCTTGACAATTTACTTAATCCGTCCAAACCTGCGCACGCCGTTTTCCGTTTATCTCATCGCACTGTTAATCTCCAATTTATTAGAAACCGTTTTATATTTCCCTTTTGCCATAATCGCCAATCTCGGAACGCCGAAAAACCGGTTTTTCTTGAGCGAAACCGGCTGCGTCGCTAACATATACGGAACAACGATCATCCGCAGCTTATGTCTGTGTTCCCACGCGTTGATTACGTTAAACCGTGCATGGGCTATGACCTTTCCCCTCAGCTACAAAGAACACCACGGACCGCGGTTCGCTAGCGGTCTGTGCGTGGCACTAGCTGTCAGCGTCCACGGTTTTGGTATCCCGGCGATTCTAGCCAACGAGAAGACCCGGCCGCGGCCAGTCGAGCGCTACGGCTGCTGGTACAAAGTGCAATCCGACTCGGCCATCAACGGCATCGCCTACATCATGTTCTACATCCTCCCGTTGTGTATTGTAGCCGCGTATCCGTACCTTTTCTACAAGTATATGCAGGGCCGAAATAAGGTGCTACAGGATGCCCGTTCGGAGAGCTGGGCACCGACACGCGGCCTGACCAAGTCATCGGCCAATAAGAACCGGACCTTCCGCATTGTCACGCTGCTGTCGGCGTTCACTATTGTCTGCTGGCTGCCGGAACAAGTGATCATCGTGACGCAGATGGCCGGCGGGGAGAGGTATATCCTCACGGCATATCCCATTGCCAATCTCGTCAGCGGCTTTCAGACACTCCTGGATCCGATTTTTCTCCTGATCAGCTTGAAGGATCTGCGTGACAGCTTCTTTAATTTGTGCCGTTCCAAGAAGTAGCCACATGGTTTTGGTGCAAATAGACAACTGATTCTGCGACTTCACGGCTAATAAAGCGCACAATGTGGGGCATGCTGTAAATGTTCTCGGTGCAAGGAGATATGAGAAGTACACCGGAAGTGTGCAATGTAAATACAGCGTGAATTAAACAACTCAACTGTGCAAACAAAAACATTCAATACATGTATTAAAGATACTGCAGTAGTATCGGATTGAGTTGCTTGATAATCATGCGAACATACACATGCACGGCAGATCGATAATTTAATTGGTCCGCTTGGATGGTATTCCTCAAGTACCGGTGCCCGCAGCAGAAGAAGGATATTAAACAGCGACTTATGCAGATGCAGCGGCAGTTTTCACGCAAGACAGCAGTGTCTTCATCTCCACGATCGCCAGAAATTAAGCAGCAGCTGCGGTGTCATCCTATGTTTCCGGGAATACTCCAGACTTTTCATTCCAGTAACCAACAAAATTAATAATTTCGCGTAATGGATATGTGCAATGGACCTTTATAAAGTCTTCTGCGAGTGCAAAATCTCCCAGTAAAGCCAAAGTATTACTTTTCCGCGTTTCGGTAGTCAATAAATGCGTACTTGTAGATGCGGGTTTTATTTTTTGTAAGTTTGTAGTAATCCATCGCTGGTTGGTTCTCCGCAGTTTGCGCGGGCTTTACTAGCAATCTTTGTTTTCACCGCTGTCGTGCAGTAACATGCGCATTACTGCAGTACACCGCAAGCCCACGTTCAAGTCTACATGTTCACATGAAACTGTGACATAATTTTTATAAACAAAAAGATATTTAAGGCTGAAATAGCACCTGAGGAATTTTATGAGAGATCGCTTCATTAAGCATCGGCATGCAGCCGCATTGCGAGGGTCAGTATTTTGGCACTGTAGCCTGTGGCATTGTAAGAGTAACTTGGGGCGACGAGGCAGTGACTTCCTCATAGGACGGCGGTGCACCCATAAAGGGTGGAGCCGGCCCAGTAAGTACTGGGGTTGCCACATACGACGAATGCAACTCAGCGAATGTTTGGTTGCCCACCACAACCGGACGGCTGGTGTTGACGTTGCCGCCTGTTGAAGTCAAAACGATGGGTCGGCTAGGGGCTGTCCTTCGATTAGAAGAGCAGGCAGAGGAAGCAAAGGCTATATATGATCAGGATCACAAAGAAGACAACTCCCACAGTGATGCCCGTAATAGCTCCAGCACTCAGGTCATCTTCTACAAAACAAATTGGTTAACTAGGTTCCGTCTTTCACGTGCAGGTGCATTTATAAAAGTAATAAAACGTTCTCTTCCCTCACAGGTTATGCATGTCTGCCCTGGAGGGAACAACAACCAATATACAAAGCAGCCGTATGTGCCTAGTGCCTACCGTAATCATAATTATTATTGTTGTTCCAGTAGCGCGTCGACCGATCCCAGTAATACGGTGTTGTCGATGCGGTCTGGCATTGTCGCCAAAGCGCCGGATTCCGTCCCGTTATGGAGGGACTGAAACTGGACGGACAGTTAACACGATCAGTCAAACCGTCCTTATCACAGATGAAGTCATCGTGCACATATCCCCCAAGCGCAGCGCAAAAGGCGTTGCGTATGTGAGAAGTGCCTATAACAAAGAGTTAGTAATGAAAATCGATAACTTTTTGACAAACAATACCAGCAGCGTACTTTCTACGATAACGAAGTCAATGTACGCTTCATGAAGGCCGCTGTACGGAGATGAGCTGCGGAAGTACTCGAACGTGAAAGACGGCTGTCTAGAAAATGCTGTCCTGGCTTGCGCGACGGACGTAGGGTTATATGACTGGGCGAGGTAGCCGGTTAATTTCTTGATCATGGTGGACGAGTTTCCCATTACGGAATCACGGGTTTGGTAAATTGTCAGGGTGTCCTCGGATGGCAGAATAAATTTCCTTAATTTTATAAAAAAGGTTATTTGCAGTTGTAGATTCAGTTGTGCAGGCGGTCTTCCAGAATCTTCGCACGTACCTGATATTGAAATAAAACGCAAACTGGTTACTCGCCGATGTTCCGCAGTTCGAGTCTAACGTTACGTTAAACGAGCAACGTCCGGCAGGCAGATTGCCGATATAGTAGTAACGAAAGGTTCCCGCTCTGCCGGTGTACATATATGGGCAGACTACTGTGAGGCTTTCGTTGCACGCTGTCTCCAAATCCCGGTCTGCAAAAAGCGGAAATTATAATACTTAAAATAATTATTTCCATAATGCACGCTACGGATATAACAGCAGTATAGCTGGAAGAGGCCCTTTAGTTTTACTCCGTTATCCATAGTGACACTTGTATGCGAACTGCGAAATAGCTGTTTCAGGCTGATGTGTTTACTTACTAAATGGAACCAAAGTTAAATTGCTGGTACTTACATGAATCATAATACTGAGCCGTGGCGCTTTTAACGAAACACAAAAATCCCAATCCACAAATAAGAATAACAACTCTTCCAGCACACATTTTCCTGTGATCAGGTGCTGACTTAAATTAATCGCAACAGATTTAAATTCTAGCGCAATATGCTCCGACTTTCTGTATTGCAGAGCAACTTTTATAATTACGGTAGGTATATTGTAATCACGATGACAATTAAAAGCGCAGCAAAACAAAGAGCGAAAGATAGCGTATCGCGCTAACGTCTGCTACAATGATTTCATCGCTGGGCTACGACGCGATTCTATGTTATGTTATCGGACCGTATCCGAAACCGACGGAGCAAGTATTGTTCTTTATCGGCGATTAAGCCGAGATTACAAAGCAGTCGCGTGCAGTGCAACGTAAAATGTGTGTGAGAGCATTTTTCGTGCGTTAAATGATCAGACCACGCACATTCAAAAGTCAACCATACATTTTGAAAAGCTTGTTTTAATGAGTTTTATGAATTTTTTGGATCATTTGAACCAGACTTCTGGAAATAATTCCGTTGTGTCTGGCAGTTTATTCGTAACAGCACATGCCAATACAGCTTTCACATTCACCACCATTAACATTCAAAGGTCACCAAGGATTCAAGTCTCGCACAAACTCCAGAGAAAATTATTAAGAAATGGGTAAACAGTGGCATGTGCACTGAAAAAGCTCCACCGTACATTCGTAAATGCTTTCGAACCAATGCGGCAGCGGGAGCAACGATGTTTTTTCGACCAGCTAAAGATCGATATTTTGTAAGTTTGTAGATGCGTTTGCACGGAGTTCGGCGGCTTCATGGAGCTCTGTGACCTTTATGGCAACGGCTTATCTGCGCAATGACTGAAAAAGCGGGACTGTTTTGCAGTTTCTTCTTTCTTATGCTGAGAAACTCAACTGAATTTTCATAGGTGTGCTTAGAACTTCGCGCCGATTTGCGTATTCTGCGTTTTCGAATTTTTGGCTGTGCAATTGCGATCGCACCGTAATTTCAACTCTGCAGTGGCACGTATCTCTGGGATCTATCATCAGTTCGAGGCCAATGGAGACCTTTTGACGGTAAAACTTCGAACTGTTGGCTGGGATTTAATATTTGCTGTCCAACAGCAATCAACATCAATTTTATGAACTTAATACTGATTTTGGAAATATGGTTGTCAATAACTTGTCATACTGTCGTGTACAGGCGAGGTATTACACCATAGCCACCCAGGTAAATAATAGACTGTGTTTAATTGTTAAGTATTTAACGTCCAGTTCAGCAAGTATATAAACAAAAATTCGTACAACAGTTCGCTTTGGCCGCTCAGTGACCAGCTGCTCGGTTTGCTCAATACATAGGAAAGTAATATTTATGGCAGCCAGATTCACAAAAAGGTAAATGTATGCAGTACTCCCGCGCATAGTACAATTTTAGCATATTCCACATCCATTACTAATTCAACTCAAATTTTGCAGAAACCCAGTGACGTAGGTCAAGAAATCTCTATACGTCTCCATACATTTCTTGGAGGCGCCGGTACGGAAGACTAAACCCGTTGATTCTGATGTGCCGGGGTCCACATTGGATACGGTCAAATTTCCTCGGGCACACTCTACTTTAATCGGCTCGTAAAACGACGCGCGTTTCTGCCTTGTTTCTCCAGTTTTCGCTACAATCCACGAATGCAGATCGTGGAGTATCACGCGACAGTTGAGGGTGTTGTCGCCGTCGAATACGGTTGTCAGTGAGTCTGCCAGATCCAGATCAGGTTCCGGGAGGGTCACACGTCCTAGTCGGCACGTGATGTTCAATGGAGTGAGAAGATACAACGGAACGTCTCCTGGTGCGGCAGTTACGGGCGGCTGGAAGGTCGTTGTTCTGACGGGTGCGGAAGTAGCATTTGGCAGAATGTTTGTTGTATTCCAAATCCATGCGGACGTTGGTGGTTGGTCTGTACATTGTCGCCCGAGAGCCGGATTAAAGCCAAGCCCAAAAACTGGATTAGAGCCGGATGGACAATTGACGCGATCCATAGATCCGTCCGTATCACAAATGAAGATATTGTTCACATAACCCGAGAACGCTTCGCAGCGCGTATTGTGCGAATAGGCGTTATCTAGAACCAACGTGGCACAAAAGCGTATTACAGCCACTGTCAGACGCCTTTTATAACGAGCAAAAAAGAATGTCTTTCTTTACTTTCAACGATAACAAAATCGATAACCGCATCATGGGCACTGCTGACGGGAGACGAGCTGCGAAAGTACTCGAACGATATTTTTGGCCGTTTCTCGTACGGGAATGTCATTGTTTGCGCCACCGATGACGGGTTGGAGAAGGGGTTCTGGGAACCGGTTAGGTGTTTGAGAAGAAACTGCTGTCCATTAGAGGTGGTTTGGTGAATTTTTATATAATCACCCGAGGGCAGGTCCAGTTTTCTAAATATTATTTAGCGAACAGTTAGCAAACGCAATAAATAGCATTCCGATTGTCGTTTTACGTTAAGGACCTTCAACGGGGGTAAAGAAGTTTCCGAATTGTCAGCAACTTATTTTCAAATGGTTTTCTCATTACCGGATATTGAAATAAAACGCAAACAGATCCGGATCGGTCCCACAACTGGGAACCAGGGTGACATTGAAGAAACACAGCCCCGGTTGCATCCAGGTGATGTAGTAATAGCGGAATGTACCGGCTTTGCCGGTTTCATGATACGGACAATCTAGTAACAAGCTGCCGTTGCAGGAGTTCTCCAAGTCCGCATCTGCAAATCGCGATACCGTTTATGCTCATTTGTTTTGCTCCTTCAGTCACTATTTTCGCCCCCATGCTCATTAAACTTAAAAAAACTGAAAATGTTAACAGAACAGTTTCATGCCGCTGGTGAAATTTAAGTCTTTTGGTTTAAATCCGCTAAGAAATAGCTTTACACCAGTAAAGGATAAGCTATTTTAAACAAACCGTTCTCCATGCTTACACTGATAATACTGAGCGCATGAATTGTCGATCAAAAAAAGTAAGCCGAATCCCACGGCACAGAAAAAGACATTACCACAATCCATTGTTTTTATCTAAGCTGGTGTCGCAATATTCCTTCCCGCACTACACAGACGAGGCTGTTTCGGAAATAGAATATTATTCTTCAACGGGGTCTTAGCAGGTATGTGTCGTTTGCCAGAAGCGCATTTACTCTAAAAACTAATACTGTTGTCTTCGAAGAAACGCATTCCTGTTTTAGATTACATACTTGGCCGCTTGGTGTCAGTTTACATTTTCTGTTGAGCAGGTTTTCATACAATATAGTACAAAGCGATGCCAGCATTTATCTTTTCCTTTGTTGCATGTACAATAGTTTAGATATGAACACATACTGCTCCGCGTTTGCTCCAACTCTCCTTATCTTTCGCTGTTGCGTTGTGGAGTATACTTTCGGCTAGACTGTTAAGTAGTGAATGTGTAAAGCTGGGTTCTTTAATGGTAGAGTAACGCCAGTGGATGTTACGGAATACTGCTCCAACTCTTTCTTCCAAACCATCCCTTAAACACGTGTTAAAAAAACAGTTTAAATGCATATTGTACAATACTGATTGGATGTGTTCTTTTTATTTATGTTCACTCACTGATTGGATTGTGCATAATGTACAACACTGATTGTACATTATGGACAGCAAGTTGCTTGTAAGCTAGAACAACATTAACGTCAATGTAAAGTTAGAGTACATGAGAATGATATTCGTAAGTACAAATACACGTTCTCGTCATAACAATACTTATTATTGCATCTGCTCCGCGGCTTTCGAATGGCCCTGCGCAATGATATGCTTTCAAGAACAGCACAAACGTTTCAGCGACCTGTCACAGTGAGAGTGGGATACCCCGGTGGAGAAACACAGCGTGGCAACCGGATTGCCAAATATCTGAAAAGCGAAACATATCAGATTTGTCTGCCGTCCTTTCCGGACACTTCAATGTAAGGTTTCTGTTTTTATATGGTTTCCAGATTTCGACCCTTATTTCCCAGCTCAAGATCGTGTTAAAAAAAAACTAAATTTCTTAATGCCGGCTTCTGCTTGCATGCTACAAGTGTTTTCAAGCGCAAAAATGTGCAAACAATGTTAATGTTAGTGTAACTAAATTTTGACGTACGGTTAGCAATGTTTCCATGAAAAGAATATAGTCTCGCGTGCTTCCTAACTCTGTCAAACATCTGGCGGACAATCACGGTTAAATTAAAGATGACCATTCTGTCACACTCTTTCACTCGGTTCACAACCTTCCGTATAGCGATTCACTCCGAGTTCTACCTTTTGGCATTAGCTTTGATTCCGTTCACCACCTTTTCGGCATTTCCTTTAAATCCATTAATTGTGCTCACGGGAAAATATAAAATCAAGTCTGACGGATTTGCGGATGCCAGTTGCAAAAGATCAAAGCAACTTAATAACCAGACAGCCGCCAGAGGTATGAAAGCACCATATTACAACACAATCTGACGTGTTTCTGCAAAATTTAACTTTTATTCGATAAATGACCAGCAGGCGATCGGCATGGAGGCGGCACTGTATTTGTCAAGCGGTTCAATGGTTATGCTTAAACGAAACTTGTGGACTGATGCGGGACTCGTAAACGGATCCTTGGTATCTGACTATCTGTGCATGAAACTTTTCATGCGCCAGGAACATCGCCCGAGGACGCGGTGCCTTTGGCTGTCCTTGTCGAGCTGGACAAGCACAAAGGGTCAACCTCTGCTAATAACTGTCTCCCTATCTGTCAGCTAACTTCCGAGTGGATCGAGATTGAACAACGTGTGCGCACACCCAATTTCCATTAGCCCTCTCGTAGGCGATAACTGTTCATAAGGTCCTAGGCAGCACTTGTGTTAACGCTGTTGTCCATCCTGGACCCCGCGAATTCGCCTTCGGACTGATCTACATTGCCCTAATCCCGAATCAAGCCTTGGAATGGTTAGGTTTTAGAACCAACATTCCCGTTCTCAATACTCACTCACTAGCATTAAAAAAAAAACCGCTATTGAACGTATTAAAGAAGAACAGCTGCTGAACTGTTTAAAATGTACAACGCTGCATACACTTAACCATGTTAAACGTTAACGAATACTGGTTTCTGCATTAATTCTTGCCGGTTGCCTGCGAGATCAAAATAAAATTCCTACGAATGCAAAAAATCGTATTTCTTGATCCGAGCTGCGCTCCAGTCTATTCAATGCACGAAGAAGTGAATTTTTTGAGCTACCTACCATTCACTAAAGACATTATATTGATTGTAAAATTATATTGATTCTGTTGAAGACACTTGTAAAATTATGTTGATACAATTCTGTAAAAATTTCGTAAGCAAAAGGATTGAAACGTTCAGTAAATAGCGCACAAAATGTCATTTACTGTTGCCTCCACAATCATTCATGGACATACGAAGAAAGTATCACAGTTATTCGCAAAACACCGAAAATTAGGAAGTAATCAATGCTTGCTAATTTGTGCTGTTGTGTGGAGTTGTAGATTAATTTCGATCTCACAGGATGCTGCAGTATCAGGCCAGGTGATCGTTTGCCAATGCCAGGTGATTATAATTTATCGTCAGGGACTATATGGAGAATAATGCTGTTCAGCGATGCAGTATGTTTGCCGCTGCAGTCTTCCTGGTATTAATAACTTCCGGATGGTTTGTGCACAATGCCATGGAAAATAATTCATTCACGTGAAGATCTCATTAGTGCAGCCCGTGGCGCTGGCATCATCTGATTGTTAGTTGCATCTTACACCCATCTACCAAAATACCATGCCAGTTGCCAGCCGATATAGCTGGGGCTCCCGTGGCTCCTGACAGTCAACTGAACCGGTTATTCTGCGCGCTGGCTCCGGGATAAAGTTATTACAAATAGCAGTCTTTGATTTCTGCTAATAAATAGTCTATAATGTCTAACATAACTGCACTGAACTCCTCTAATGTGACCGCTGCCTATGGGATGGCCTCTATCGGATGGCTTAATCATATTCTGACCACACTGGTTCCGCTGGCAACCATCTATCTCATCGTGATAGTTAGCGTCTTTCTGTCAAATAAACGGCTGCAAACGCCCTTCAACATTTACCAAATCAACATGTGCCTGTGCTGGATAGCATCGTTCATGTTGAAATGCGCCACCCTTGTCAACTTACAGATTAACGGACGCTCGACAGGAACCAGTGCAGCATGGTGTGCAACGCGGATTTACTACCTGTGGATTGGTGACCCGCTGGGCGCCTCGGGGCACTATCTGCTGTCACTCAACCGAATCTGGGCTGTGACCTTTCCTGTTCACTATCGCGCTCATCACACCAAACGGGTGGCGATTATCGCCTGCATTGTTCAGCATGCGGTTCTGTATGGCACGCGCCTGCCGCATTTTATCTTGACCATCAGCGAACGCGTCGGAGGTAACGGGAAACCCTTGTTGTCGGGGCTGTGATCGTATTTGGAGCAGTACCATACGTCTTCGTCATGCGCGCTATTAGGCGACAACAAGTCGTTCCTTTCGACCACGGTGCGTTGTGTAATAGGACCTCTACAAGTTATTTGGCGGCATAGCTAATTACTCTTCGCTTACCTGGTTAGTTATGATGCGGTTTTTAAGACCTTTATGTTCCTTTATAAGGCCTTATGTTTCTAAGGCTTGAAAGCCTTCGCTCATTGCAAATTGTAAGACGGTTCTAGATTCTCTAGATTCCTATCTGTCTTTAAACCATACCTGTTTTACGGAAGCTCGAACGCCAAAGCAACTGCACTTAAACCTTTTGTTCACTTTATTTTGTCTTACCCTATATTAGTTTCCTAAGGCCTGGCAACAGAAACGGTTTCAGTCGGATGTGTAGGGTGTACCAGCCTTGATTTAAAATGAACTCAAACAATATGGCTTTTATCTTTTGCCTACATTGCAGCAGATAGTTCCTTCCAATAGATGTATGTACATATACGGAATCGAGAACAACTAAAAGCGCTGAAGTTTACTCAATAAGCTATTCTGAAATGCAGAACCGGAACCGGGGAGGACAGGCAGAACACTGACAGCCGGCACAAACACTGTGTTCTTGGCCTCAACAGCCATCACTTTTGTTGTCTGGACTTTCCTGTTTATTACGGTGAATATCTACCCCAACTGGCTGCTTCTGACGGATATCGGTCGATTATTTGGCAACCTGAACTGTGTACTGGACGCGACGGTATTTGTCTTCTGTGCTCCGGCGACGAGGAAAATTTTCTTAGCAAAGCTAGGGTGCGGCAGCCGGAAGGAGGAGAATCTCAGTATCCAACTGAAAAGCACAGCTTCACCGCGGGATATGTGATTCCTGTTAATAGAAGAGCATGACAAGATCAATAAAGATGCAATTAACGTGGCCCGTCTCTTTTCACTGGTAAAATCCCACATAACACCCCACTTTACCGCATGTCGGTCTTTCCGAGACAAAGCAAAAACGTATGTGTGCGTATGCGCAACATCGCGGAATATTGAGTGGATGAACTCGTAACGAGGTAGATGATTGCTAGTCCCAAGGCAAAAAGGCGCTTCCGTAACACATTCTATTAACCGTGTTGCGATGACTATCAAACCGCCACATATCACCGATGCTTATCATCGCAAGCGCTATAAAAATGGCAAGCGCTATAAAAATGGCAATACATGTATAAAAATGGCAAGCGAATCAGACCCATTCGTGTGCGATAACCGTTCGCTGTTTGCTCTGCATCCCTGCCCAACTCGCCTTTTTGAACCGATAGGTCTTGGTCACCTGCAAACCTATCCACTTCCTATAAAAAGACACAGGACAGGGCAGATTTCGTCAAACTGGTCAAGATGCATATGGTCTAAATCACCACATGAACGGGACAGTCTACTTTCCTTTATTTTACTACCTTTTGTGTATGTGATGGTGCTGATGTGTATAATTTCTTTTCGCAACGATCTGGTAAAAAGAAGGCCAGTGATGCTTTTTCATATCATGCAGCGGCGGTTGTGATATGACGGCCGTTCTGTGATATGTAACTTTTAAGGATCGCCGCAACACGGTTATTGTAGCATAGAATGCGCCTTCAGTGTTGTTTAGAGATGGTTGATTCTTTTCAGTGGTAGACTGGTAGTTCATTTCTGTTCATTAGCGCTGTATTTGCGTGTTATGCGTCTGTGCCAGACCGGAGCATTTTCGTATTTTTTCTCGCGTTTTGAATAAAGCTTCACTTTATTTGGAAAATCGGGATCTGGGACTTCGCGAGTATTTCTTAGCGATTTCCGTGTAGATACGGTCCAAATAGGGTGGTATTTGTCAGTGATCACGATTTTGCAGTAAGGTTTTCCGTCATTTTCCGTATTTATCATTTCACCTTGTGGCAGTACCTACAAAAGTTTGTAGTACTATCGTATAATCCCGGACTGCGCAAACAGAATCGGTTTATGCGCTGTGGAAGCGTTTGTCATTAGAAACATGACTTTCATTAAGGAAAAGCGATTTGCACTCGTTAAACATTGCAAAGGTTTGTGCAATTTTGCATCCACATTGCCTTGCACTGTCTACAGGAACTGTTATTTTTTCAGAATTTCGAGCATTTCCTCCAACTCTCCAAAGGCACAAGCGAATCACAATTACAATTACAGAGATGATAGATCTACCGTCAAGAAAAATCGAAATAAGCAGTCAATTTGAAAAATCAATTCAATTAGGGCGCATCGGCACAGGCACATAGGTAATATGGCTTCCATTGAAAAAAAGCTAGCCAGTACGATTTTTCGCAAAGCCAGTCACATAGTCCAAAAATTCTCTGTAAGTGTCAATGCAATATTTGGATGCACCGGTACGGAAGACCAAACTCGTGGACTCCGATTTGCCGGGATCCACATTGGATACGGTCAAATTTCCGCGTGTACATTCTACGTCAATCGGCTCGTAGAACGACGACCGTTTCTGTCACGTCTTGCCGGTTTTTGCCACAATCCACGAATGGAGATCGTGGAGAATTACGCGGCAGTTTAAGGTATTGTCGCCGTAAAACACGATTGTCACCGCATCCGCCAGATCCAACTCAGGTTCCGGAAGGTTAACCCGTCCAAGGCGGCACGTAAGATTCAACGGATTTACCAGATACTGCGGGATCACAACGGGAGCAAAAGTACTAGTAATGGGGGGCGAAAAGGTTGACGTATTCGCTACAACGGTCGTCGGGGTTGGTCGAAAGGTGGTCGTATTCCAAGCCCAAGTCGGTGTCGTCGTTGACTGGTTGCTGCACTGTCGCCCGGTTGCCGGGTTGACTCCCGTTTCGTTATGATTAACAAAGCGAGATGGGCAGTTCACCCGATCCACCGATCCGTCCGTATCATAAACATAGATGTTGTTCACGTAGCCCGATAGCGCACTGCATTCTGTATTGTACGGTTGGGCTTTTGCTATAATAAGCACAAGACAAAGGCATTAGACAGACTCACAGTCACTGGATATTGTTATACAGTATATAACAAAACTCTACAGTACTGAAGTGTCTCTAATGTCTTCATTTACATTCCACGATAACGAAATCGATAAGCGCATCATGGTAGCTCGTAGCCGGCGACGAACTGCGAAAGCACTCGAACGTGATGGATGGTTATCCGTAAAATGCTGTCTGTGCTTGTGCCACCGATTTAGGGTTGGTTGATGGCTGGGTGCCTGCCAGATAAACTCTTTAGACGGTAGTACTGTCCGTCAGACGTGTCGTAGATTTCGAGATAGTCACCGGAGGGCAAGTTGAATTTCCTAAGACATATTTTAGCGAACAATTAGCCAAGGGAATCCAGGACACAACATTAGACGTCATAACTCATTGAATACAAGACCCGAACACTTGGACAAACTTTCTCAACTATTTTTGAGTTTTCTCCCTACCGGATGTTTAGATAAAGTGAGTAGTATTCCTTTGTCCAAGGGGAAAAGAATCCACACTCTGGATTTAATGCAATGGCACAGGTGCACAGTCCCGCTGGCAGCCGACTGATGTGGTAGTAACGAAATGTACCGGCTCTCCCGGTGTCAGGACGGGGACACTCCAGTGTCAAAATACCAGGGCACGAGTCTTCCAGATCCGAGTCTACAGTATAAAGAGTGATCAAATTAGCCAATTTCTGCCAGTGTTTTACAGGTAAATCAAATTTCTTGATCTACTTCTGAACTCAGATTTCTCCTTATGGAACCTCTGAAAACTGGAATATGTTGCAACATTAAATGATGGTTAATAGAACTCTTTTATGTCGATGTTGCCGGTAATTTTCCGCTGGCTATTATTTTAACCTCTTTATGTTATTAGACTAAAAAATTAATACGAGTAATTTAGGGTGTCTCGGCTTACATTGATAATCCTGAGCGGACGAAGTCTTAGCAAAGTAGACGATTCCCAGTGCAAGGGTAAAAAGAAGAACTCTGCCGTAGCCCATTGTATCTGCATAAGTTTGTAGCACTAGCGTAATACAAATAATCCCGGACCACTGAGCAAACAAGATCGTTTTATACACCGCGGTCCTGGCATGTGGAAGCTTTTGTCATGCAGATACGAGACAAAACTGTAATTGCCTTTAGAGAAAAGCGATTTGCAGTAGATAGCTTTAAATCGGTTTGGTGTTCCGAATACCTGCTAATGGATGCACAATAGATTTTGTTCCAGCATCGCATAATGCAGCTACAACATGTACAATATTAAATTTATCACTACTGTTGTTATAGGTAGTTGTTGTGATATAGAGAAAATATACAGTGCGATATTATTACGCACGCTGTACTTTGCATTCCCTTAATTGTTTATGGTGGTCTTATGCCAAGCAGATGAAAGTTAGCAGCTAGACTGCCATGTCTGCGGCATACAAGACAATGAAAAGCTGTGACTAGAATTCTTTTACTTATTAAAATTCTTTTATTGATTCGATGTTGGCTTTCGGCCGCTGACACGAGAATTACGCGAGAAACAACCTTTTAGTCCAGTGATGCTAACCAAAAATTGAGGTGTGGCATTCATAATATTAATTCATAAGAAATTAAGTTATTAAATTCTAAAAATGGAAAAATACAGAAAATAGAAAAATACAGGTATTGACGTTTTTAAATTTTTGACTAATTTGTTTTAAAACAAACCTTTTGATTGTTAGCCTACAAAATGCAGAATAACTTGGTGTAAATTAGCAGCGAGCTTCGGCAAATCACAATTTTCCCGTTATCCACCTAAAAAATCTACAATCACTCGTAATATGGTACTAAGATGAAAATATATAGGCAAGTAATTGTTCAGGCAAGGTAAACATAAAGATTATGAACTAGTCATAAATTTTCATGCTTTTTGCACTTTAGATATCATGTGAACGTAAACACAAGCAATTTAACGTTTTCGGTACAAAATTTATTAATGTTTTCAACTTTGCTAAAGGTGTTCCAGCAGTGTTGGCAACTTATCAGCACTAACCGTTCTTAGCTTTCTAAAGGTCCATATAATTGCTCTGAACAGAGAGGTAGGTCGTCTACATGTTTATTATCGATAAAAGTATTCCGCGCGATCGCATTGGACAGTAAAAAAAACAAAAATATCGGCAGGCTATCCAAATAGATTTCCCGCAAAACCCGTCACATAGTCCAGAAAATCTCTATATGTCTCGATACATCTCTTTGATCCACCAGTGCGGAAGACCAAACCTGTTGATTCCGATGTGCCGGGATCAACATTCGATACGATTAACTTTCCGCGTGCACATTCTACTTTAATCGGTTCGTAGAACGATGCTCGTTTCTGTCGCGTCTCGCCGGCTTTCGCCACAATCCACGAATGGAGATCATGGAGAATCACGCGGCAGTTTATGGTATTGTCGCCGTCAAACACGGTCGTCACCGCATCCGCCAGATCCAAATCTGGTTCCGGAAGGTTCCCGCGACCAAGACGGCACGTAATGTTCAACGGGTTAACGAGATACGATGGAAGCTCAGCTGGAGGTGCAGTGACGGGAGGCTGAAAAGTGGTCGTACCGGTAATTACTGGAACGGCGGTAGTGGTTGGTCGGAAGGCCGTTGTACTCCAAGCCGATGTCGGTGTCGCCGGCTGGATATCGCATTGTCGCCCGCTAGCCGGTTGAGTCCAGTTACCGTGGAATCAATATAGCTAGACGGGCAGTTCACACGATCCACCCATCCGGCCGTATCACAAAGAAAGTTACTGTTCACGTATCCAGATACCGCATTGCAGTATCCACTGTGTGAGCCGGGTCGTTCTGAAACAAACATAGCATGCATTTGAACACGACTATTGGTTGTCTTTTATAATAGCACAGATGCAATGTCTTCCATTACCTTCAACGACAACGAAGTCGATAAGCGCATCATGAAAATTTGTAGCGGTCGATGAGCTGCGAAAGTATTCAAACTTGACGGATGGTATTGGGAAGTACTCTGTCACAGCTTGTGCCACCGATGCGGGGTTAACGGCTGCGGTGTGATTGCCGGTTAAATGCTTTATAAAGTTGTAGGTAAGACCGGCGTCGTAAATCTTGAGATAGTCATTGGCAGGTAAGTCGAGTTTTCTAAAAACCATTTACCGAACAGTTATCGAAAACTAGAGAATTCAGCGAATAAAAGACACAAGCACATGGAACGGCTTTATCTTTTCTTTTCTGACTTTTTTCCTTACCGGATGTTTAAATAAAATTTATACCGGTCCGTCCAGCCCCCGCAGTTGTGGGCCAGCGTGGCCTCGAAGGAGCACAGCCCAAGTGGCAACATATAGATCAAAAAATAACGGAATGTACCGGCTCTCCCGGTTTCCGGGACTGGGCATTCTAAGATCACGCTACTATTGCATGACTTTTCTAAATCCACGTCTGCAATCCAAGAAGCGCTTAAACCAGCCAGTTTAGGAAGTTCGCTACGGTAAATAAAGTTTCTTTATCCTTTTTAAACTCAGATTTACAATTTGAATATGCTGGGACAAAAAACATTTTAGTTGATAGAACAGTTTCACTACCGGTATTGGATGCAATTTTCCGCTAAATTTTCTTACAACTTTTCTAAATTATTCACTTTAGGAATTATTATATAACGTATTTCTGCTTACATTGATAGTATGGAGCCGATGAACTCTTAGAGAGAGAGATTATTCCCCATCCAAGGGCAAAAAGAAGGACATATCCGTAACCCATTGTATCTGTGTAAGTTCGTAGCACTAGCGTAAGAATCTCGTAGCACTGCGCAAGCAAAACTGCTAAAAGTTTCATGTAATGATCGCCTTAAACGGTTCGAGTGCTTTTGTCATTCAGATAACATGCAAAAACAATGGTTGTCTTGGGAGAAAAGAGGTTTTCACTAAGATAACGTATCACCAAGGTGTTTTGTATACCTGCTGAAATATGCACGTTGGATATTCTTTCAGCATCGCATAATGCAACCACAATTATTTTTGTCATTATCAGTTTTGTCGTTTCATGCGGTTATTGTAGTACAGAGGCAATGTTCAATACGGTTTTATATTGCAAACTCGGTGCACCTTGCACGGCATTATTTTGCATTGTTATTTACGAAAATGAACGGAGAAGATAAATGTCCCGCAGTTTTCATTGCCCAATAAATATCATTGAATTAACAATCATTTAAGCAAAAACAAACATTTTGCATTGTTTGCCGAAGCAGTGCAGGATGGCGAATTATAAAACTGGCACCTACGCTTTACTTTTTATCTAGAATCTAAGTACTAACGTAAAGGTGTAAAAATTCAGAATACAGCTGATGCGTATTGGCAGCCGGTGTCGGCGAATTAAATCTCCTTGGGTAATGTCACCGCTTCCGAAGTCCACTGTTTACGCTGGAATTCCATCTGCTGGAAAGCTGGTACTCTCGGCGATTGCCTGTGTGCGGTGACGGTTGGTCAGCGAGAAGGTGGCCGACCGGGGATCGGTGGAAAAGAGCGGCCGGTGCCCTGCGTAACCTAAGGCCTTTATCGAGCAAACGCAAAATAACAGCAGAAAACCAGAAGGGTGTGGCGGGTGGTCAAGAACTAAACACTCACGCGCACATGAAACCCCAAAATGTAATGACATCGTCAGACTAAAATGCAGAGCTCAAAACGGGTACAGGAGCAGTCAAGCGCCCGGCACTTGCGCGCCCGGCGTTTGTTCACAATCAGCATTAGTACATATTATGTCATCGACGTGTTTACATTCGTTTATCGATAAAAGGAACTGCGAACACATCGGACAATGGAAAACAAAAATATGGGAAGATTATTTAACTCAGTTTGCCGCAAACCCCGTTACATAGTCCAGAAAATCTCTATAAATCTCGATACATTTCTTTGATCCGCCGGTGCGGAAGACCAACCCTGTTGATTCCGATGTACCGGGATCCACGTTGGACGCGGTTAAATTTCCGCGTGTACATTCCACTTTAATGGGTTCGTAGAACGATGCTCGCTTCTGTCGCGTCTCACCGGTTTTCGCCACAATCCACGAGTGCAGATCGTGGAGAATCACGCGGCAGTTTAAGGTATTATCGCCGTCAAACACGGTCGTCACCGCGTCTGCCAGATCCAGATCCGGTTCGGGAAGGTTCACGCGGCCGAGGCGGCACGTAATGTTCAGCGGATTAACGAGGTATGCTGGGAGCTCAGCTGGAGGAGCAGTGAAGGGAGGCTGAAACATGGTCGTGTTCACTGGAGCGGCCGTTGGGAATGGTCGGAAGGTCGTCGTATTCCAAACCCATGCCGGTGTCGTTGGCTGGTTTTGGCATTGTCGCCCGACTGCCGGGTCGAGTTCATATATTGTATTATAAAAACTGGACGGGCAGTTCACACGATCCAATGATCCTTGCGTATCGCAAATAAATAAACCCGATAATGCAGCGCAGTAAGTATTGTGTCTCCTAGCCGTACAAACGTACGCTAAAAGCATTTCACAATTAGTGGCTATTGTCAGCTGTAATTACAAAAGACGAATGCCTTCATTTACCTTCCAAGATAACGAAATCGATAAGCGCATCATGGGAGTTGATAACCTGCGACGAGCTGCGAAAGTACTCGAATTTGACGGATGGTTGTCTGTAGTACGCTGCCGTTGTTTGTGCCACGGATGCAGGGTTTGATTGCGCGGGTTGACTACCGGTTAAATGCTTTCGCGGGGATTCCAATCCGTTTTAAGATATATCGTAGATTTTGAGATAGTCATTTGTGGGAAGGTAGAATTTTCTGGAAAACATTTCAGTAAATGTACTGAATGGATACGCTACAGAGATTTGACAGGCTACGGCAAAGAAAACCTCATATAAAATCAGCAAGTCAGTCAGTACCGGATGTCGAAACAAAATCGAAACCAGTCATCTGGTTGCCCGCAACTGCGAGCCAGGGTGCTAGCCGCATAACGCTGATAACGCTTCCCAAGGGGAACCGCATAATACTAACAACGCGCTGCCAGTCGCGTGTGGATGCATGGATGCGCATGACCGGCGCGTGCACCTGTTGTTCATGCTGTTGCATAACTAACTTTCATTTGTCATGGGAAGTGTATCGATAGTCTTGGGTGGTATGTTGGAAAGTGTGATAACGGAGAGGAATGTCCTTGGAAATGTTGTGAACTGAATGCATTGGCATGTGGCTAGACGGTCTCATTTTGTGGTAGTGTGCTTCTGGCGGAAATGATGGAATCATTCTGTCTTGACGATCTGTGCAGAATACAGCTTACGGTATTAAACGACTAAACATCGTTGTTGCGGAATATCGTAAAGGTCATAGACGTAGCCGTGTAAAGATACGGGTAACAAACTGGTGCCGAAACCGTGGACACACTTTGCACAATCTGGCCAACATCAGCGATCCCATGCTGATCCATCGTGCCGGCAAGTTGACCAAGCAGGCTGAACTGGAATGAGTGATCTTTTTCAACCACCGCTTGCAGTGCCGATCCAGACAAGTCTGTGGACTCTTTGAAATGTGCCGCCAGGAGCAGGTGATTGACACTACTGACCGATTTCACCAACACCCACTGTCCGTTTCTTGCTTCATACGGTTTACCGTTGAAATTCACAACCGCAGATTTCCAGTAGCACTCGGTGTAACTGGCAAGGGTGTAACCGTCGGTAGCAATTGTGAAGTTTCCGCTCCTAGGCTGTGGTCCACATTTGGAGCCGTTGTGTACTTCAAAATCCATTACCGCTGCTCGACACTGGCGTATAATACCAAACGTTCCCATGCTCTCCAGTGACTGGCATTTCCGAAGTTGCATTTCGCGCGCCGCCAGGACACCGGACAACCGCGACAGCGCGTAAACATTACTCAGGCGCGCACGGGCTACTTGGCAGTCGAGAGTGTTCACCGCGTCGCCCACAGCATTCAGGTATTCGGTTTGCATGTCTTGTTCGAACTGCAGATGCGGCTGCAGGATCTGGTCCAGGTCAAGTGTAAAGTTGTCACCACCAACATCCCGTCTGCCGCGGCGCAGTGGCCTCCTTCTCTTGAACTTGCTGGGCGCCGGTTTCTTTACTCCGTTCAGCTGATCCCGTGCTTGACTGACATTCAGCGGTTTCCTGTCTTCAGTGTACAGTGTAACAAACAAGTCCGGTTGTTGCGCTATAGTAATCAACTGATAACGTACTGTACCGCACACCGCTGTGACATTTCCCAGGATGAAATCCAGCTGATGAACTGAGTCGCGTAATCGCAGTCCATCCGCTTCAGCGTGAAGGCTTCCCTGCCACTGTGCCATTTTCTTCACTTCACATGGCTTCCTTACTGCTTCCACTTCTCTCCATACGAACGTACGCTGCCCTTGAACTGAGTATCCATCCGAACGTTTATGGCTGATTTCTCCAATCACGCTTACCACCGGGCAGCTGTCACAATTCTGTTCCAACGTTACTTCTTCCATTTCACAGTTTCTGGTTGTGAAATCTTTTACGCTATTCCAACTTCCTTCGCCAGTTGGCGTAGCTGTGTAACTCCATACGCGTCCTGCTTTAACCATAGGTGAGTTACCGCATTTCATGGTCTGCACCATCGTCCAGCAGTCCTGTGCACTGGTGGGCACATGCGCCACGTCTCTTGTGGTATCCGTCTGCCACAAAAAGCTTTCCGCAATGTGTAGTTGGTTGTCCCACCGCCGGCATACATAACCTTTGAAGGTTTTCCCATCCAGCTTCCGAGTCCACAAGTCGAAATTCACTGGCATAGACTTCAGGCTCGTATTCTGTGCCTTGCAGTTGAACAGTTGCTGGAAACTGGCCACTCCCACATACAGCGGCTGGTTGCAGTTGCAGACGTCCACTTTCATTACCAAACTTCCGCTGGCGATGCTGAGCACCAACATCGACATAAACAGCAGTCGGGACATCGTCGCTTGCGGCTCAATGCGCGAGTTAAACACCGTTGACGTGTTGTGGTTACCGGCCGGCTGTTGCTGATGACCATTCATGTAATACGCCAAGGACGTACCGTACTCTTCAATGTAGCGCTTCGTGGTGCGTTCGCCTTTGTTTGGACGGCCTGAGCGGCGTGTCTCGACCACCGGCACCGGTCCAACATTGTTGTACGGTTGGCCATACATGTCCACCCCGCCTGCCGGTTCCCCTTGGACTTCCCCTGTGGCTTCAACCGGGTAGGTATCCACAGTGTTTGCACCGTCCATCTCGTCGCCGGCGTCACTGCCAAACTCCTCATCGTTCGAAAAGTACCGCGTTTCATCATTAATGTCATCTTCCAACTCCCGGTGATCGATGGTCTCGTTACCAACACGATCGCCGTTCACGACCACAATGTCCTCTTCATCTTTGACCAATGTATCGCTCAGCTCCTCATCGTCGGAAACTGATTGACCACTAACTTCATGGTAGCCACCATTGTCATGGTCCATTTCCGCATTACCTCCGGCCGGCTCTTCCCAGCCTCCATGCGTACTGCCAACGTTTTCTTGACCATCGACGTCTTCTGCATCAGATGACTCATTTCCGTCGCCGATGTAGAAGGTGGCTTTCTTGGTCGGAATATCGTCATCCGGGTCATCGTACATGGCGTTTCTGTCCTTGAACAATTTCAACTTTGACACATGTACCACAAACGTTTTGCGACGCTTCCGGCCTTGAGTGTGCACTTTGTAGTTCACTGGTCCTGTACGCCGTAAGACCAGGTACGGACCGGTCCATCTGCTCAGCAGTTTCGTTG